AAAGGCACTTCCCTTAATTTTCTCTTTGGGTGATCCGAGAAAATTAAGGGTGTAAGCAAAGGCCAATAGTTTTTCAAAGCTGCTCTCATAACCTGCAAATCCTCAAAAATATCTTCGGGCTGAACTCCTGGAAAGATGAAACAGTGTCAAAAAACTAGATAGACTGAATTAACAATACCCCAACAACCATTTGATCTTGATATCTTATCAAATAAAAAGGAGCTCAATGGTGGCAGTATAGGAAAAAAGAACGCTTCTCCCAACCCATAGCATGTCCCCAATACCCACATAACCTAGAAACTAAAATAATAATACATAAATAATAAGGGCGTTGGAACAATACTTTCCATGAAGTTCAAGCTCAGCTGAGCTCAATTGTGAACCAGAGGACCTGTTCTGGATTGGAATCCCGCGTTTGATGGTGGTTCCACTAATACACGATACAAGGGGCCTATAGTATGTTTGAATCTCATGGTCTTCCTTACAAAGAGGTATAGCGCCCTGCTTGCTATAGGAACAAACAAATGAAAACATTACTAAAATTCTGCAGATAATACTTCAAAAGAGAGAAGTAAACAGACGGTTGCTTGAATTTTTATGACAGTATCCTCACCCAGATGTATAGCAATTAGCGTCAGAAGTTTTCTGCCAAATAAAAGTTTCATCTTGCTGAGCTAGAAGGCTCCAACAAATATCCTGGGTCAAGTCTTCAATTGGAGTTAACGCATTTCTTTTCTTCATATTTGATGAACTTACAAACGAGATTCAAGTTAAAAACACAAAATAGTATTTATCTATATCGTGTTTGCTACAAGTACTTTTGCTTATAGCTCACTCGTATTATGTTGAGTGTATTTCTCTTGCATTCTTTCGAGATATCATTTTTTTTTTCTTTTATTCTTTTCATGATTTCACTTGTTAGGTTGAATATTTAGTTAATTTATGTTGATGACTTATAATATCTTTGTTAAAACAGGTTTTTCATTATGGTATCTTTACAAGGAGCAAAAGGCGAAAAAGGAAAGAGAAAGGGAATGTACACTGAAAAAACCACTAAAAAAAGGCGTAAGGATGGAAAGTTAAAAATAAATTTTGATGAAGTGACTTTGAGAGTAATTGGCCACAATCGCGGTACTTGGGCACGTGATTTAGGACTTCTTGCGCGAACTCATTTACCAGTTCGATGTGAAGTACCCTTTAACAAACTAAGTGACAAAGTTAAAGCCCCTATTTACGAAAGGATGCTTGTAAGTATACTAAAATCCTTCCTTGCAAACTGGGAAGTTAGTTATGAAATTCTAACATTTTTAACTTTTTTATTTTGTAGGAAAGATTTGACTTTGCAATGTTATTAGACATAGATGATCAAATGAAGGATTTACACAGAAGTTGGCGGTGTTCATTGCGCAAACACTTTAAGAAAATTGGCAGGGAAATATCACCATAAATTGATAAGAGATTCCCCCTGACGACATAATTTATGACGAAGATTGGGAGTGGCTCTGTGATGATTGGAGTACTGAGGAACAAATAGTAAGTTTCAAACCTTTCATGAAGTGTTATGGTGGTATTTGTTTCACTTATTTTACATTATTTTTTGTAATGACTAATTTGTATCATTCTTTTAAGAACTGTCCAAGCAAAATGCGAAGAACCGCTTAACAAACAAAGGCTATAACAGTTCACATGGATCAAAATCCTATCCTGCTCATCGTGAAGAATTAGTATATAAATTTTTCATTAGTTATATATATTTTTATTTACATTTTTTACTGTAATTCAAAATATTGCTACAGATGAATTTGGAGACTAATCAGTTTGTTGGTGACATTGAATTTTACCGAATTATGTATACCAATCACAAAACAAAATAATGGTGCAATCCGCAAGCTGAACAAGATTACGTGAGTGGTCATTTTTAATTAATACACATACACTTTTTTGTAAATAAACAAGTTTTATGTGCAACATATTTTATTTGATGTTATTATGTTAATAATTCAGTTTCCTTACCTTTAATTGCTTAGAAACAAATTTAACTCACATGCACTTAGAATATTACAAGTAATGGGTCACTCTTTTTGAATTGTTTATGCACATTGCTACTGACTATCAGAGTAAATTCTTTCTCTTCTATTTTTGTTTGTTTAATTGGTTGTCATTTAGCTTATTGAGTCTTAGATTTTCTGTTGAGTCTTTTGGCTTGATTCTTTGTCTGAGTTGGTTACTCAAGGGTCGTTCTTGCTTACGTTGCCTTTGTCTTTTTCACGTTATAACGTGATTAGTTGATGCTATTGTCTCATTACTACTTCTCCATTTGATGCCTTTTTTTATTAACTCAATTGGGCTGTGGCTCTTATTTAATCGTTCAATTCCCTTTTGCATACTTCGGCCTGATTGTGAAAATTCTGATCACTTTTCTGAGTTAAAGATGACGTCTAGTAGGCTGTCGAATGACTCAGATTTTGGACATGAACACACGTTTAGTTTCACTAATCATTTTTTCACTATTCACTTGGTGTAGCTCTTATCTGTTTGAGTTGCTGCAGGCCCTTGGGCCCTGTTTTCGCGTGTGAATGAAGATCACATTTAGAAAAAAATGGCAAAAAAAAAAAAAAAAGTTCACTCCACTAGAGTGGCAATCGACTTTTTATTTTATTTTATTTTTGTTCCCAAAAACAAAAGAAAATGGAATCAGATGGATTTAGTATTTTTCGTACAAGCTTTGTTTTTTTGTTTCCTTAATAGGAGTCTTAAACACCTACCTAAGCAACTTTTGTTTTTTTGTTTTTTTTTTTTTGCAAAATAAAATATTGGCTCTTAGAGATCAATCTTCAGATGTAGTATTATTAAACAGCGATACTTGTCATGTTCTTCTCACAGAAGAAGGCATTGTTCAAAAGGTTCAGAAGCCTCGTTCGGGATATATCCGAGGAAGGGGGAAAATTCTGAAAGGAGCTTCTCATTCTTGTGGTGCACAAAGTGAGAATGACAAAGTAGTAGTGGAGTTGAAGAACAAACTTGCATCATATGAGAGCCAAATGAGTGCCCAAAAGAGCCATACTAGCATATTGGAGAATAAGCTTATTGCATGTACGTCATTTATTCAACAATTAACCTCTCAACTGAACGTGTAATTTCCTGGATGCTTTGCTCAATTTGATCCAAGAACCATCTTTCCTCTACCTTTGCCACCACAACACCCTTCGCAGGATGATGATGAAGACGACGACGATGGTTATCGTCCCGTAATCTCGAGAGATCCATGTTATTAGATTTACAGTTTAAAGCTTTAATTTCATGTATGAATTTATATTTTAAATTTCTACTTTTGGATATTGATAATATGCTTAAAACTATTATGTATGTTTTATGAGCTTTTAAATTTCTGTTATTATTAATTTTGTGATTTATTAATTTTATATTTAAAATAATAATATAATTTGATAAATAAATTCAAAATAATAATGCAATATAAATTTACGTTAAAAAATAATTAAAAGTACGGTTTCTTCAAAAGTGAAGAAGTTACCGACGCATTAGGTGTAGGTAATTTTAATTTTGAGGATATTTGTTGATTCTTTGATGGTGTGAGGAATTTTATCTTTTGAAAACTTGTTGACGACAATGTCGTCAGTATATTTCCTTTAAAAAAAACAGAAGGCATTTTAAGTAACTTGCCGACGCCATTATGACATCAGCAACTTCTAATCAATTTAGCGACGCGTTGACTACTTCACTAAGTGTACTTAGCTACGCTAAGTTAGCAACGTCTTTAGCGACGCTGTAGTGGTGTTAGAAAATTAATTTACTGACGCCTTACAATACTTACCGACACAATTAATGCGTCAAAAATCACACTTTTTCTAGCACAAATTTAAAATTATCCACACCAACACCCTCTAGAGAAGAGACTGCCTAGAACTTTCAGCAAGATTCAAATTAGATTCTAAACCAACCGAACCCAAAACATTATCAAAAATATTGTTGCATGGAACCACAGTGGCATGCAACGTAGCCAGCCTTTCCCAAACCATGTTAGCCAGCCTTCCCCTACGTCAGAGTTCGCAAACCTTTCCTCACATAGCACCTTGTCTAACCCCTTTTTATCCAGCTCAGCCAAATCAACATTAGTGGGCCGCACTGGCTACAACTCTTTATTGAGATCCAAATTTTGCTCAACTTTCTCCACAGAATCAGAATATAAACGTAGAAAAATCTTACCCGGTTATAATTTAGCATTAATATAGGGAAGAAGAATCTTTATTAGCCAAAAAAAGATAAAAAATCCTTAAAAAAAAAAAAGAAGAAGAAGAAAAATCTACTGCTAGGGATATAGAAAAAAAATGTGCTAATTAACGTAATAGAATGGATATTGATATCCAATATTGCCATAACTGGACTGGAAAAATACGGAAAGAAAAGTTTATTAAAAAATTTATAAAAGAGATATAGACACTAGGCTAAGAATCTGAATTAAGAATCTGTCCTTGAGATTCACTTGTTTGGTTGGGAGATTCGTACCTCAATTCGAATCATAGTTCATAGTTCGTTACAGTGTTTTCTCTCACAAAAAATACACGTAAATCGAAAATGGTTCTAATCTTATTATTCTAATCTATGAACTTTTTTCCTAACCAATTACCACGTGCACAGAACAGAGACCAACTATTGGCTGCATGAGACTTATCCTTTTTTTTTTTTTTTTTTACTCTTTTAACAATTTTATTGTCCATCTACCCAAATATCAACTCCCTTATTTAACGCTTATCCTTTCTCTTTACCAAATTAGCACGTGCACAGAACAGAGACCCAATATTGGCTGGCTGCATGAATACTCATTCAAATTTTTTTTAAAAAAATATTTTACTCTTTTGACAATTTTATTTTCCATTTACACAAACTGAATTCTCTATATAAACCCCCTAGGATTATTGTTCGGATCACAACAAAATTTCCTCGTAATAGTACTAAACCAAACCTGCAGAAATATTATTCCAATGGATTCTTCCAAGGATTCGCAAATTTTCGACTCTTCGTTTCTCCAGAAACAAACGCATGTCCCCAAAGGCTTCATTTGGCCGGACGAAGACTTGCCGTCCAACGGCACAAAAGGTGTTCTCAACGAGCCGCTGGTGGATCTCGAGGGCTTCCTCAACGGCGACGAGGTGGCGACGGTTCGAGCCGCCGATCTCATCCGAGAGGCTTGCACGAGCCATGGTTTCTTCCAAGTGATCAACCATGGAATTGATTCGAGTCTCATCAACCTCGCTCATGAACATCTCGAATCTTTCTTTAAGCTTCCGGCAAGCGAGAAGATCAATAGGGCTCCCAAGCGTCCCGGTTGCTTGGCCGGCTACTCCGCCGGTCACTCCGAACGCTTCGCCACGAAACTGCCGTGGAAGGAGACGCTGACGTTCTTCCATGAAAGCGGGTCGGTTCCTGTTGTGAAAGACTACTTCACCAACAATTTAGGGAAGGATTTTGAGCAAGAAGGGTAAGATAAATATATATATATATATATATATATATATATATATCATTATGCTAATTATACAACATGGTTTATATCTGATTATACCACAAAGTTGAAAGTTTAAATCTTCTCACCCCTAGTTTTTTCTTTTTCATTATGCTAATAATATATATAACATTAATGGTAGAATTAGAGTGAAGAAGATCTTGTTCTTTTTTATTTCTAATAAATTTGAGTAAAGAATTTGGTAAATGAGGTAGTGGGTGTCAATATAATTAACATGTTCTAATTGGCATGATATAAGTTATAAGTTACTTAATTACTTAAAAGGAATAATATTAATGGTAGAACTTATATTTATGTTTAGTCAAATATCCCAAAATTTTGGAATATACATGCATTCCATCTTTCGGTTATTAAATGATGGAAAAAAAAAAAAAAGATCAGAACTGTAACAAAAAAAAAAAAGAAAGAAAGAAAAAAAAAAGAAGAGAAAACCCCTTCCAGAATGCTTATTCTTAGATATCTTGTACGTCTATGCTAATTGTTTGACAACATGCAATAATAATATTAATATGCATGTTAGATGATATCAAAATAAACTGCATGTGGATACATATGTCTATGATACATTTTACTTTTTTTCTTTTAAAGTGATGTAATATTAACTTTATTAATTTTAATCAATTTTTTAGGATAGTGTATCAAAGGTACTCTGAAACAATGATGTGGCTTTGTCTGAAGCTAATGGAACTACTGGCGATAAGCTTGGGCGTTGATCGAACGCATTACAAGAAATTCTTTGAAGATGCTCACTCCATCGTGAGGATGAACCATTACCCGTCTTGCGCGCAGCCCGACCTCACTCTCGGAGTCGGGGCCCACTGCGATCCGACCTCCATAACTATTCTTCACCAAGACCAGGTCGGAGGTCTTGAAGTTTTCCACAACAACAAGTGGAACTCAGTTCGACCTGTTCAAGATGCATTTGTCATCAACATTGGTGATACCATTGTGGTATGTAGTTAATTAATTATTAAGTATTTTCTTTAACATTTACTTTTATTCGCTTTAGAGCTTTGACTACATGTATAGTACAATTGTGATATTTCTCATGCAATTAACATGACAAGTTTTCAAAACCATATATATATAGAGAGAGAGATTTTTTAAGATATCTAACATATCACGAGTTGATATATAACGAGTTGTTTAGTAACTGACTATTTGTTAATCTTATAAGAAAGTACTTCTCTTATAGTAGTTTCTCTTTCTCCATTTATATTTAACAAAAGAATAGATATGTACATCTTTTTTTCCTGCGTTAAAAAAATTGTTAAAAATAGTAATTAACTAACTCACCTCTAGGTCAACTCTAACTATTACTGACATATATATGGAGTTGATTACGACTAATTAGTGTAAGTATATATGTTCTCCACTGCCATCAGACATTATGTAAGCGAGAATACTTATTGCATATGTCGTTAAGTTGTTTGCATATTGCAACATACATATACATGCATATTCAGCTTTAGGACTTTATGATCTATATATAGTACCATATTTGTCGTATATATAAATATCATATGATCATACGTACAATATTATTATAAATTGGCGAAAGAATACACACACACACACACACACATATATATATATATATATATAGAGAGAGAGAGAGAGAGAGAGAGAGAGAGATACGTTGCATGGTATTATATATATATAATATTATTGGGCCGTGTTTTATCTTTGTAGGCACTATCGAATGGGATATACAAGAGTTGTCTGCACAGAGTAGTGGTGAACAGGGACGAAAATAGGAAATCGATGGTGTTTTTTCTGTGCCCGAAAGAAGACAAAGTGGTGAGGCCTCCGCACGAACTTGTGTTGGACCAAGGAACAAGACAGTACCCTGACTTCACATGGTCCGAATTGCTTCTCTTCACTAGCAAATATTACAGAGCTGACCCTTCTACCCTCCAAAAGTTCATCATCTGGAAGAAGCAATCTTCCGAACCAGCTATTTCCCATTATTAATATTGCTTCAATATTTATACATACACATTAATGTTTGCATCTATCTATCTATATATATATATATATATAATATGTTATTTTATATTATTCATGTAGCTCTCGTAGTCCTAGATTTATGTTGGTGCAGTTAATTAGTACCGTCTGCTCTTTATTATTACATTCTATGCAGCTAGCTGATTCTCTTCATTTACATGTAATTGGAAATTCGGAATTCATGCATGTGTCTACCTCTCATCCGTTAATGCGAAATTTGTCGAGGTAGTACTATGTTATGTTCCTTTATTTTTCCAGCAAAAAGTTATTTTTGCTGAAACAGCAAAAAGTTATTAGGAAAAAAAAAAAAACCAATATTGTTTTCTGTTATGTTTAAGGTTCTTTGTTCGGCCTATGCTAGCTATAGAGAAAGAAAGAGCCGTGTGATGCTATAGATCATGAGCAAGTACGAACGTTGGCCAGATTTTTTTCCCTCTTGTTTTTGGTTGGTAATTATTTTTATTAGAAACATATTTGAAAGAACCGCCGATGCTAAGCATTATTATAAATAGAAGGTTAATCGATTCATTTTATAGATCCCATACTACAAGACTCACTTTTTATTAATAAGTGGTGTTTAACACTATTGATGCTTCATAGCATTGTTCTATTCATTAACAATTCTGCTCTGCAATCTAATGTTGTCTTCGCTTGGTTTTATATTTCCAAAAGTGTGTGTAAAGTATAGTAGTGGACAATTTTGGGGGAATGACGAGTAAATGTTGTTCGTTAGGAATTTGGTCATTATCCGTCGAAAGAAGAATTTTTAGGCAATATTCATGATTAGTGAGGCATTAAAGTAAGCAATATTCATTTATATATAACAGCGTGGTTGACTCTACTATATTTTACCACGTATTGAATGGTTAGGTAATGTTGGCATTTTCACATCTTTCTAGCTAAGAAAATAAGTAGTTAATTATGTGGGCAGTAGCTGTTTAAAAGATTGTGACTGAATTAGAAAAATTAATTAGGGACGGAACTAGAAAACTTAATCAGGTGGGGCAAGGGCGTGAATGAATTAAAAAAGAAAGAACTTTAAAAAATATCCACAAATTAAAGGGGTGTGTTAAGAGGGCGGTCCTTAATATTCTCTATCATAATTTGAATCTCTTTTCCATTAAAAAAAAATCGCTATCATAATTGTCAAATATTATTATGTAAGCTGTAATATCACAATTATAAGAAAGTGCAGTAAATCAGCAGTCAGTAAATGTACCCAGTGCCTTTTTAAATTTATTTTAATTTTCAAACAATGTATAACTTTCCCTCCCAAAACAATAATCCGGGTCTCTTATTTCCACTCTTAAAACTGGAGAGACATGATGAAAGTAGCAGCCACCAATATGAATATGACCTCCACTTGACATAACCGTTGTGCAACGGATTTCATACCCGCCAACCAAAATTTAAAACGTCTGAAAAAGAAAAAGGCCACAAAATAAAGCAAAATCCCACCATCCCACGCACAACTTTTTCCCTTCCTACTATAATATTCTCCTCCTTTTCCGTTCCACAATATTAATCTTAAACACTTTCCCATTTGCCTCTCCAATCTAGACCAAAAAGAAAAAAAAATTCATCAAATGGGTTCTTGCATTAGCAAATGCAGACCAGAGAAATCATCACATAATTCCCACGAAGAAGAAGATGAAACTCAATTCAGCTATGTCCAAGATAAGCTTGTAATAATCTCACAACCACCACCAAAAATGCAAATCCCTCCGAAACCAAAACAAATCTCATCCCCGTCCCCTCCGACGTCGCCCTCCGCCTCGACTTCCTCCGCCGCCTCCTCCTTCACTTGCTCATCCACCAACACCGCAACAAGCCGCTCGATTAGCTCCTCCTCCTCCTCCTCCGCGTTGTCGAAAGGATGTTACAGATCATCATCCTTCACCAATGAGTTCTTGTGGTCATGTTACAAGGAAAACCCCCACATTATTCGCATAAGTTCAATCAAAGAAAATAGTGTAAATTCTAAAGCACCAACTGTCAAGCCAGTTGTTTCAACTAGTACGCCAAAGAAAAGACTTCGGTCAAGCTCGCCAAGTAGTATTACTACTACTACAACTTTAACGAGACAAAAGAGCTTTCGGAGAGATCATCACAATTGCGGAACACTAACGAGATCATCATCGCCTTCTCCGAGTCGAAGGTTCGTCAATGGAGATCTTACCAACTTACAGAAAATTAAAGAGTCTCAGAGACACTCAAAGCGTGTGGTAAGTACAAATTCTACGTCGTTTTCAAGGACGGACAATATTATTAACTTTAGGCCTCCAAGTCCAAACAACAACAACAACAATTCTAGTACTAGTAATGCTCGGCTACTTACCAGTAGTAGAAGTACAAGAGAGCAATATTGCAAGAATAATATTCATTGGATTGGTTCGAAAATCGACGAGATTGCGGTCACGGAAGCGCTGGCTGATCAGCACGAACTCGACGGCGTTTTGATGGAGGACATTGATAACCCTCTAATATCCTTAGATTGTTTTATTTTTCTGTAGAGCAATGTGTGGTTTGATTGATTCATATATATGCATTTTAATTTGAGAATTTTATAGTTTTTTTTTTTTTTTTCCCTTCTTCATTAAGAGCGTTGTTTGTGGATCAACATCGCGAGACACAATAGATAGGCCTTATTCTATGTGAGGGCTCGCGGAGACCCTCAGTTTTTCTCAGTCATTAATTAGTTTCGAAATGACCCTCTCATATGCATGGATCTCATGTATATATATTAAGGTGTATTTACTTCTCTAAATATACTCTTTAATATTTGTCAAGTTTGGAGGAATGAATTATATTGTTAAATATGGATTTTTTGTATGAAGTTAGCAATATCTTAGATTATTTTTAATGTAAATGACAATTCAATTCTATTTCTGACATAAATATTATAGTACCATTACATTTAATATGTTGTTATATTTTATATTTCAACGTCAATAGTTGTTTCAAATGTCATATATAGCCATTTTTTCATAAATTTTAAAACTTTGGAATTACAAAAAATAATTTTTTTTAGCTTTTTGTAAAATTAAAATTAATTATATTATAATTTTTTTAGCAAAAAAATTAACATGCTCACAATGAAGCAACCAAATGTCAAAATTTTTCATATAGTGCTAAATTTTGCACCTAGTATAACCTATGCTAAAGTTGACACAAAGAATATAAAATAATTTTGTTACTCAAATATCAAAATTTGATACTAGCCTAAAAACTCGGTATTAAATTGGAATATTTTTTCCTATGTATTTTGAGAGCAGGAGATGCTCTTAACAGCTAGAGTACTAAGACAAATTTATTTTTGAGAGAACATTAAGGACCCATTTGGTATATGAGTTCAAATCATGATTCAAATTAAGATTTTTAATCATGATTTTTAAAATTTAAATTTTTTGTAAGAGAACTAAAACTATGGGTTTACACTATAGGAGAACCCATATACAAACATCACCTAAGAAATGTGCTCTTTACCTTAAAAAAAAAAAAAAAAAAAGAGAAACAACACAAAAGAAAACAAAGGTGCCCTTTAAAAATCATATAAGGTCCGTTTATTTCATATATTTAAACTCAAATCTTTGATTCTGCTATAATATTTTTTCTCATAAAAAATTGAATTTCAAACGTTAAAATTAAAAATCATAATTTAAATTTACCTTTTAAATGGCCAATAGTGTCCACGAAGCACGAATAAAAATCTTATACATAAAAGAATGGCATTTTTATGAATTTCCCATTATTCTAAGATTAATGGTCACAAGATTGCGACAAACGTACACAACTTTGTAGCTACTTTTGAAAGGGTTTCCCGCCTCACAGTTTTCAAAAGCTTCCAATGACTACAAGAAAATGCAAAATATTTAATTAACAAACAATATTTGGTCTGACCAAATGACGTGTAAACCAAATATTAAGTCATATTTGCTCATATTATCCCCTAAAAAAAAAAATAAAAGAGAATTTTCTAGTAGGATTAGAAAAAAAGACTATTTTTATCCATTATATCTAAATTAAAAATTATCTCTATACCATTTTAATTTAATGTGATTTTAATCTAACAGTTAATAAGTCACTCCCCGCCCTAGAACGAAACAAAAGAAAACAAACGCTTTTGCGTGTGTGCCTTGCCCACGGTTATACGATTGGGCCTAGAGTTAGCTTTTCAGACTTGGGCTTAGAACCTTCGGAGTTTTGACGTGCAAGATAAGAAAATTAGAAAATGTACCTTTCATTCACCTCTTTAATTTTGTGTCATTTTCTTAGAACTAGTTGATTTAATGTACATTTAACGTGTTACATTTTCTTAATACAGAGATTTAAATTTTCTTCAAAAGCTTTATATTTTCTTAATTTATTACTTCTTAAGGGTTTAGTTTTGTAAAAATTAAAAAATGAAAAAAATGAAAAAATAAATCATGAAAATGTTTTAAAAACAAGAAAAGAAAAGAAAAGAAAAATGATGCAATGTGTGAAAAAGAAGGAGAAACCTTCTTATAGTGACAAATGTTAAAAAGTACGAAAAGGCCTTTGGCTCTTTTATGTATGTAATTAATTTTGTAACGTAGTTCACACGTATTGTCATGTTAGAGACACCTGGAGAGTTTATTGTACTGAATAATAAGAAATTTATTTATACAACTGATAACTCTAAGAAATTAGAGTTATCCACTGGTTTTATAGCTTGAAATTGCGAGACCATGAGTGATTTTTCTAGTTTATTGTGTGTTTTAATTTAAATTTGTAGAGTTTACACTTACTTTGGCTTAATTCCGTACTGCTGCTCCTCTTGAAGTGAAAGTTAGTAATTTGGAAGTAAAATGAGGTGAAAAACTGACTAAGGCTGTGTGCGCACCTTGTAGGAAATTTCTGGGCTAAAATGCTGCGGCATTTTAGGCAACATTCTGGAAATAGCTGGCAGCTGATTGACGTCAGCGCACTAGCTGGAGAAAGCAGAC